GCAAGCTGACACGCTATGACAACTTCTCAAACAGCAGATTATGAAACGATTACAATAATAATAATAATCCTTAATTTATTATTGTTTTTGGTTTTGGAGGGATTATTATTAGGCTGTGTGTGGAGTAAGGAAACTTGCCCAAGGTTTCGCCCTCTGCCTGGAATTGAACTCAGGTCTCTTACTTCCTGAGTTCAATTGACAATAGATTTGCTGAGAATTTTTTGATGGTTATGTCGCTTTTCGACAGTGTAGCAGGAGCACCTTACCTGTGCTGGGTGAATAAACCACCTTATACACTTCCCACATATCACGTTACTAATTGGACTGTGGAAAAAGAGCGTCAAAATGGTAATCATTCAACATGAAGCCACACCAGTCCGACAGCTTCCATTTGCCACGCTCTTGAAATCAATGAAGTCAGATACCCATCCCAAATGTTAAACTAACAAATGTATCTGTAGACGTGGTAGTCAGTGTTGTTCACCAGAGATGAAACAGGATCCTGATCGAATTCCATTGTTTTCACACTTACAATATATATTTTTTCACTTGGGCTCATGTCTGGAAAGATGCCTCCACCATGTAGGATATATTATAAATAATAATAATCCTTGCATTTGATATGGCGCCTTATCTTCAAGACGTCTCAAAGCTCTTCACAGAATACACTGTAAAGTACATTGACTGTATATTTGCGGGCGAAACGCGGCAGCCAGTTGCGCACAGCAGCGTCCCACAAACAAGTCGTGGATTGAGTGACCAAATTATTATTTTATATTCTTTCTTGAGGGATTATTATCAGGAGTGTAGAGTAAGGAAATTTGCCCAAGGTTTCGCCCTGCCGGGAATCGAACCCAGGTTTCTCATTTGTGAGCTGAGTGCTCTAACCACTGACCTACTATATTATACCACATATTATACCATATAATATCCACAAAATACAGTTAATTCACTTTACAGTATATCCTGTGAAGCACTTTGAGATGTCTCAACCACATGATAAAGCATTATATCAAATGAAAAGGTGATATAATACCATCAGATGGAAATTATGGATGAAACTTGTGGCGTTTTGTATTGTTTTCCACGTGATAATTATGACCATGAAATTTGATCCCAACGAGCAATAATAATAACTTTAACAGCCACCTAAACAGGCACACTAGGATGTCAGTTTAATGTCTCATGCTCAGAACACCATGGCATTGGAGTGTCTGTTTAGGGATGTGATTCCCAAGTCCCAATGCAGGGCTTGAACCCTCAAATTGACTGCCACATTCACCTACAAAATACCACAGTCACTTTACACTCTGCAGCAAGATCCTGCGAAGCATTTGGAGAGATTCCCCTGACGCGAAAGGCGCTGCATCAAATGTAAGGATTTTTTTTATTGGTATATAATACTTACATTGACGATCACTGTCTGGTAAGCTTTCCCACTGCTCATCCAGGAAAGGCCATCCTGCCCGTTAGGTTTTGGACTTGCAAGAATTATGTGTAAGGGTCTGTTTAGGATTGCATTGCAGTCTAATTTCAATATGAACATATTTGTTCCCCTATATTCCTGCTGCAAATGTGTTCAGAGAGTGTGCCAGCCAATACATCTGTTTAGACTTGTCTGCAAACAATCATTTCGCAAGAGTTGGAAGACACTGATTAAATTGAGAAATTCCACCAACAGCATAAATCACAAGAGATTAGACAACATCTCAAAACCACTTCCTGGTATCCGTCAATCCACTACAATGAAGGTAACATTTTGTTGGCTGCACTCTTACAATAATAATTCACAATAAATCATTTTGATCGCTTTGGAAAATTAACAATGTTTATTGACATTTTAAATGCAGTCCTCTCCCAGAACTGCAGTGGAACGTCAAAACATGTTAAGGGAGCTAATCTCCCTCTCGATCTAAATAATAATAATTATCTCTGCATTTGATCTAGGACATGGATTATCAGGTGGGCGTCTCAAACCACTTCTCCGGATTTCACAATAAATTAAATTAAATGTATTATTTTGTGTGTCAGCCTGGCTCAGTTGGGAGCAATTTTGTCTCTGAGTGAGAAGAGTGTGGGTTCAAACCCTATGTCAGAACTTTAAAGGTCGAGGTTGAGACTCCAATTCAGTGCTGGGGGAGTCCTGCATTGTCAGAGGTGCCGACCTTCGGGTGAGATATTAGCCATTAAGCACGTTCAGGTGGAAGTCAAAGATCCTATGACATGATTTGAAAGAGAAGGGATTTTCCTCTCAATGTCTAGGATGTTACGAGAAGAAAGGTATAATTGGCAGACCAGGCTTGCACTGTGCACGCACACTGTAATTGCTACTCTGATTTGTCACTGAGAGAGAGAGAGAAAGAGAGAGACACCCTGGTCATTCATTTCATGGCTATTTGTGTAACACAGCAAATAGCTCTGCGTGCCATCACAACAACTGATTACATGTGTATAGCGCCATTCATGTCAGGAGGACGTCCCAAGGTTCTGGACAGTCAGGGATTCGCACCCGAGCTGGTGGTTGGGATCAGGAGGGGCGGAGGGCGAGGTGGGTAGGGGTAGGAGGGTGACCGAAGGCACAGTCGAAGAGGAGGCTCTTGAGATTGATCTTGAAAGAGGCATGGGAGAGGGCGAGGCAGAGGGGCCATGGGATTCAGTTCCAGAGGCTGGGGGCAGAGAGGCTGAAGGTCCTGCCCGCCAATGGTAGGGTGGCCAAGGTGGGGGACATGAAGCAGGCCGGAGGTTGTTTTGGACAAAAGGGGCCCTTAAGACCAATTAATCTCATCCATCCAGAATACACCACCTGTCCACAGTGCTCCCATCACAGCATCAACACTACTACTAATAATAATAATCCTTGCATTTGTTATAGCATCTCAGCACATCGTTGAGACGTCTCAAAGAGCTTCACAAAATATACTGTAAAGTGTATATTTTGTGGACTGCATTTTTTAAAAAATCTTAAATGAGTCTTAGAAGCGGTCTCTCCTATCCTGGCTTCTCCGATCAGTTTGTGGACGTGTCAACTCTCGACCAGAATTGTTTCCTCTCTTTTGCCAAGTTCAGGGCGAAAACTTTTATTTGAAGTTCACTCTGGGAGGGGGTTGAGTGTGAGAGAAGGGGGGGGAGCTCTCGGCAAACTCCGATCGTTGGGCGAAGGTGGGGGAGAAGAGAGGAGGTTCTGTCTAATACCTCCAGAAAGGAGCTGTCAAGAGCAGTAAGGCCAGAGACACCAGCTGCTGACCCCATCTCTCTCCCATTTTAACCTAGTGTTTCTGTGGACCCATCATCACACATTGTAACGTTCCTCTCTTCCTCCTGTGCAGTGCAAACACCGCACAAATTCTCTCTCTCTTTCTCTGCCAACCCCTATCCACATAAGAACATAAGAATTGCGAGACGAAAGAAGACCAAGGGTAATCTAGTTCCGATCAGGTCCATACAGGAAACTGATCAGATAATTCGGGGATAATTCATTTTTTGACCTCCCTCCACAGGAAACTTTTCAGTCCCATTTACCCCATAACCTCCATAGCTGAATGCTGTTTTTAATTGGACTTCTTTACGCAGCGAAGCTTGCCGCATAATGGAGGTGACCGCCATCGAAGGGAGCAAGAGTCTAGTTCTCAAACAATGGGTTAGCAAACTGGTGGCAAAAAAAAAGGTCCATATGTTATAAAAATGATACAAAGCATTTTGACTTCATTTTACAAAGAGATACCAAGACATTTTGGCTTATTTGCTTCAATAATTATGGTGGTAGGGAATCTGCAACATTTTGTATGATTTATTGATGGCTATCGGAATTTGATAAGGATCTCATCAAACCTATTACATATCGTTGCAGATTTCATCTCTCAATTCCCATCAGTTAACGTGTTTTTTGCGTTTTGCTTGACTGCAATTCTCTGCTCATTTAGAGCCATTTGCATTTATGTGGCTTGCAGCACATTATATTCCCAGCTTATCCAATGCAATCTACATTTATATAGCGCCTTTCACAGGAGGACAAGATCTCAAAGTGCTTTACACAGCTGTCTGGCCAACGGAGCTGGAGAGGAGCTTTATGCTGCCTTGGGTTAGATGGCAGGGTTTGGGGCTCTCAGAGCATGCCGTCAAATAAATCTAATCGTTTCATTTCATATGGCACATTTTATACCAGGAGTGTCGGCTCCCTCCGCTCAGCAGGCTGTGGCTTGCTCCACCATTGGTGGCCGGGCCTTCAGCCTCTCTGCCCCCACCCGATGGAACTCCATCCCACAATCCCTTTGCCTCGCTCCCTCCCTTGCCTCCTTCAAGACGCGTCTCAAAACCCTCCTCTTCGAACGAGCCTTCGGCTACCCCTCCTACCCCTCTCCTCCCCGCCCTACCCCGCCCCGATCCCAACCCCCAGCTCAGATCCAATTCCTTGACCTTCAGGCACCTTGGGACATCCTCCCGACGTGAAAGGCGCTGTACAAACATAATTTGTAATGTAGTGTATTTCAACGCACATCGCAGGGTACCCTGGACAATGCAGTCACTGGGTGATTTGCAATGGATTGGGTCGAAGGGGTTCTTTATCTGAATCTCTGAGATCACAGTAATACAATAGACACAGAACGGTCTAAACGAGGTGTTTTGATGGGAGAGTTGAGCATTACAGAGAGGTTAGTGGATGAACCTGATCTGGTGGTAAGTCTGGGAAGCGCTGGGTTAAAAGTTGAGCAGTCTGATGTCTATTCCCTGTGTAGTGCCACAGCTGTTTCGGATGAGCTCTCCCAATGCAAAATATCTCATATAATCTCCGAGAGGAAGCTGTAGAACGAGGTTGTCCATTTGACTCGACGGCTGGGCTCAGCAGTGCAACGTAACAGGATTTCTCTGCCTCGGGATCAGTCGTGAGTCCGCAACTCGTGACATCAGGGCGTAAAGTGATGCCTCTCTTTCCCACTCTCTCTTCTCGCCCGTCATTTCAAGCGTTCAGGTATTTCCCCCCCCCCCCCCCCCAGTTGAGGCCACTTTTTCCTCCAAGTCCATGGTTGTCCACGTGGCTGGCAACGATAACAACTTGCATTTACCCAGGGCCCTCCACGTGCGCAGGGCAGAGTCTCGGAGTGCTTAACAGCTGCGGAGCCTGACCCCCGTGCTGGGGGTGTGGGGAAGTGGGGGAGGGAGAGGTGACCGTGAGCACGGTCTTTAAAGAGTCCAACGACGCTGAGTGAGAGCCCAATTGCAGCATCATAGCAGCTGAGAGAGTAGCACCACTGTAGCCAGGGTTTCCGCCAGGCTAGTCTTTCTGCCGTCGGCCGCAGAGGAGAATCGGTGAGGCCGCTTTGCAGCAAACACTGCGTTGGTGTGGTTTGTTGGCACGTCAACATTGCAGATCATTCCTTCGCAACAGGAAACGCACTCCTGAAACACAAGCAAAATGCCTCAACGCCCCACTCATGTTCCGCTGTTGCACGTTGATGGATGGCTGCTGTGCTCGCCCATAAATGAAGCATTCACCTGCTCACAATGCCTAAATTCCCAGCTTTATTTATTGCCCTTTACTATTAATCCCACTTTCCAGCTCCTTCACCCCGTGTCCCTCAATATTTTTATTTAAACCGATCAGGTGCTCAGCCAATTCCCTTCGGAATGATTCTGTTGACCCGACCTCAATAACAAGCTTCACTCCGTATAGTGCCAAAGTTACAGCCAAACCTCCGTGGGTCCTTTCAAACAAATTAAGGTAAAATATACACCACTATTCATATCCTGGGGGCAAAATGAATCCCGCAAGATAGATAACAAATCAGTATCTTATTAGCTATACTGCAGGAGTCCTATGTCATATTGGTTAGAGCACTCGTCTTGCAAACGAGAGGACCTGGGTTCGATTCCTGGGCAGACCAAGACCTTAGCCAAGTTTCCTTACTCCACACATCTCTGTTTACCTAGCAGTAAGTAGGAACCTGGTTGTTAGTCGATTGGCGGATTGTTTTCCGGAGGTAGTAATTGCTCCAAAAAAATTATTTGGTGGGACTCAATCTACGATCACTTGTGGGACGCTGCTGTGTGCAATTGGCTGCTACAAAATATATAGTCACTTGACTTTACAGTATATGCTGTGAAGGGCTTTGAGACGTCTCAACGACGTGATAAGGCGCTGTATTAAAAGCAAGGATTGTTATTGCAAATAAATGTACTGGTAACTTGTATCAATTAACCTCAACAGGTCTTTTTTTTTGTGCCGCTGTGTAAAGCAGAAGTATTGCTTTGCTCAGATACTTACAGTAAACCCAAATTCCCTCACGTGCCTGCATCCGACCAAATGACATTCCTCCCTGGAAACGCACCTTTTGGTGACAGATTTACTTCGCCCGTGGCCTGTAAATCTGTAGATTGTAAGGCAATACTCTGCATCTGTGCCATAAAGAGACAAAAATAAAGATTTTGCACTATTTGGCCGTTTCGGAATTCAATTCGAAGCCTAACACGAAAACCAATACTTCTCGAAGTTTCTCAGCAACTTGCTTTTCATTACCGTGTTCACAATTACGAGGGGTTTCGATAGAGTAAATAGAGAGAAATTGTTTCCTCTGGCGGGTGGGTCGGTAACCAGAGGACACAGGTAATTGGCAAACGAACCAGAGGGGAGATGAGGAGAATATTTTTGTTATCCAGCAGTAGGTGGTCAGTCGATTGGCTTTCCTGTGTGTGGAACACTGCTGTTGCCTTTCACCCAAAAAATAAAGTCAATTCACTTTACAGTATATTCCATGAAGCCCTTTGAGACGTCTGTATCAGGCGCTATATCAAATTCAAGGAAAAATCCAAGGAGTATTATAAGAAGCTATAAAACACTCACGTTGAGGGCACCATCTATCCTCTGCCCATCTGTTGCAGTTATAATTATCAGGAGCGCCATCGCAGGTAAAGCACTTGAAGCTGTTCGGAAAAGGAGTCGCTGTGGGGGGAGGGAGGGGGAAAGTGGGGCGGGGGGGGTAAGGGAAAAAAATAAAGTGAGAGACTGAAACTGAAGGAGATTGGAAGAATGAGCTGCTCAATGCAGCCAAAAGATATAGTGATCACTGTAAGAAACTCACCAGCTACTCAATAAATCATGGATTGTGCACCGTGGCAGAATTACCTACCCAATAACACACACGTTAGATGAATCTAATGTGTAATTTCACTCCAGAAATTCCTTTACTAACAGAGCACAGGCTACAACGCTTCCATGTAGGAAGCTGCTGAATTCACTAACAGTATACTACCCCTTTGTTGGCTATAAACCTCTCAGGCTGAGGGCACCGTCTACTCTCTGTCCATCTGTTGATCATTCACTTTGTGGCTGTCTGGGGGACATTGCCACAAAACGCACGGTCACTGCACTTTGCAGTGTATCCCGTGAAGCTCTTTGAGACATCCTTTCGACGTGAAAGGAGCTACACCAAATGCAAGGATTGTCGTTATCCTGAAGACTTCACATTGGGTGAAATAAGGTGAGAAGCAAGTAAAGTAAGAAGCGATTATCCCCAGTGCATGATTTTCAACCAATTTCTCTTGTGAGTGGGGGGGGGGGGGGGGGGGTGGGGGGGGCAGGGAAATGGAAATCAAAGATATTGCTGATGCTACGTCAACATCCACATCCAAATCACTGACTGTCCAGCGCCTTGGGACGTCCTCCCGACGTGAAAGGCAGGACACAAATGTACTGTATTATACTGTATGTCTCCTGAAAGTCCAATTTACTTACGGGACATCGGTGGCTTCACGTTATGGAAATTGACATTTCTGGTAAACACACCGTCCGCGAGAACGAGCAGGAGCTGGAAGAGGACCCCTCTTGTCGGCTGGTGGAGTAGGTGCATCGTAACCCGGTTTCCCTCCGAGATTTAGCACCAGCAGCATCGACTACAACAAAACAAACATTACACTTCAACGTGGAAACCACCAATTCGGGCCGACAGATATTATCACAAGCACGTACATATCCATCTATCTCGGTTTCCATCAGCCACGCTCTCAGCCACTGCACCCCAAAACTCTGGAACACTCTCCCTCAATCTCTCCGCCTCGCATCCTCCTCCTTCTGAGACACAAAGTTGTGGGTTCAAGCCTCAGTTCAGGAATTTGAGCTCATACGGTCCAATGCAATGCTGGTGGAGGTGCCGTCCTTCGGACCAGACGTTTAAAGACGAGATTCCCATCTGCCTGTTCAAGATGCCACGGCACTAATCGAAAGGAAAAAGGAAGTTTCTCCCTGGCTCCTGGCCAACAGTTTCCCCCCCCCCCCCCCCGCCAACTAAAATCATTCAACCAAATAGTTCACTTCCTGGTTATGGGACTTTGCTCCGTTCACCTACAAACACACAGTCATTAGAGAAAGTCTGTGAAACCCTTTGAGACGTTTCAACCATGTGATAAGCCGCTGTAATCAAATGCAAGGATTATTATTTTGTTGTGAAACTCGTTTAACTCAGTCCTTAAAAAAGTCTTCCAAATGAATTTTCAATAATTATAGGTAATATGAGAATACACATATGTATATATATATAATACAGAGACACATATTGCTTGTATCTTCCCCTTCCTTACCTGTGGAGCTATTTCCTTTGTAAAGTTTACCATTCACTGGGGACGCCAGAAGATTATCTGTTCTGTAGAAGGATTCTGTAAATGCTGTTCTGTAAGGGATTAATAAAGGGTTTGTAGCAGCCCAGACTGACTCATCACCTCCTCCCATGTAGGAAAAAAAACATTTCGTCCTTCAATCCACGACTATTTGTGGGACACTTATGTCAGGCCGACAGACATTAGGGTGAAACTCAGCAGCCAACTGTCCCCCAAACATCCATGGAGTCACTGACTGATTTTATTTTGGGGATTGTTGGCCAGGAAACTCCCTTCACTTTTCGAGTAGTGCCATGGGATCTTTAACGTCCATGTGGACAGGCAGACTGGGTCTTGTTTCAATGTCTCATCCAAAGGACGACAACTCCGATCGTGCAACCACCAGGCTGGATGTTCTCAGGTTGTCTCTTTAATGACAGTGACACCCAGTAACCGGTCTCTCTGTACGTGCACAGGCTCAGAACACATTCGCTTCGGTTAGAGGGAGCAAGAAGTATAAATTAGGTTTCCTGTCTCTTAAAAGTCGTTTTAAGCTGTTGTGGGACAGGTGCAAACTGCCTGCAGCGTTCTCCTGCAAAATACACAGTCACTATACTTTGCAATATATTGCAGTACAACTGGTGCAGCGTTTTGTACTTGTTTCCACTAAAGACAGGAGACGAGGAGATAGAATTTCGTCCATGTATGGGCACTCAGGAAATCTTTCCTTTCAGCACAAGGTTATGTGATAAATCGGATGAGAGCTCAGATGCCTGTAAGGATTTTTCCGTGACTTTGGTTATCATATGCAACGATGCAGTGAAAACAATTGTGCAACTGTGGCCCTTACAGGTCATAATCCATAGGAAAAAAATTTAGACAACCCATACATCAATCTGTCACCACGTGTTTGAGTACCAGCTACCAGCAGTCTCAATTCATCTTTAAGAGTCTTGCTTCACAGATAACGCCAGACTGCAAAGCGATTTAGGGATTACAGAAGTGGAACACCAAAAACTATCAAGCCATATGTAGACTTGGTAGCATATATTATAGCAATACTTGCAATTTAATGTAACGCTAATGTCAAAACATCTAAAAGCACTTAACGGGAAATTACTGTCAAGTCGAGTGACGATATTTGGAGATATAACAGTTTGCACACAGAACGCCGTGAAATGAATCGAGATGGGAGCTCGGTTTAATCTCAGCCGAAGTATGGCACCTCCGACCACACTACGCTCCCCCCCAGTACTGCATTTCGCATTTCGAATAGCGCCATTGGATCCGTAACATCCACCTGAACGGGCAGACGGGGCCAGGGTTTAACATCTCATCTGAAGGACGGACAGCAGTTCTGACAATACTGCACCGGAGCATCAGCCTGGACCGTGAGCTTAAAGACCCTGTCAAACAAATGCTTGAACCAAACAAATGGTCAACTCGGAACACAATAATAGTTCCACTTGTACATTTGTACAGATGCGCTCTTCCAGCCACGTCACCCCGAAGTTTGGGAACTTTCTCCCCCAATCCCCACCGCCTTGCCCCCTCCTTCCCCTATTTTACATCACGACTGAAGACCTTCCTCGTGCTTTGATCATCTCCGCACTCCCCCCCACCCCCACCTGGCTCGGCATCAGGCTCCTCCACTGTTAAGTGCTCCGAGACGCTGCCCCTTGTGAAGGGCGCTACATAAATACAAAGCCAGTCAGGAACCTCGGGGTTCTGTTCGACCCTGAGCTGTCCTTTCTCCCTCATATCCGCGCCACAACTGGCACCGCCTTCCATCATCTCCGGAACATCGCCAGACTATGGCACTACCTCACCCCTCACGCTGCTTACTCTGGTCCACGCCTTTATCACCTCAAGGCTGGACTATGGGAACTCTCTCCTCGTCGGCCTTCCCGGTACCTCCCTCCACACTGCAGGTCATTCAGAACTCTGCAGTTCGTGTACTGTCCCGCACCAGACACCGCGACCACATCACTCCCACCCTCGCTCGCCTCCACTGGCTCCCCATCCCCCAGAGGATTGATTTCAAGATCCTCATCCTCACCTACAAGGCCATTCACTGCCTCGCTCCCTCCTACCTCTCCGACCTACTATCCCCCTACCTACCTGCCCGTACCCTCCGTTCCTCTGGCTCCGGTCTGCTCCACATCCCCCGCCCCAACCGCCCTACCATCGGTGGCCGGGCCTTCAGCCTCTCAGCCCCGAGGCTCTGGAACTCTATCCCCCAGTGCCTTCGCCGCTTCCTCCCTTTCCTCCTTCAAGGCCGGTCTCAAGACCTTTCTCTTTGACCGAGCCTTCAGCTCCCCTCTCGACTCTCTACCCCCTCCTCGCTCCCTCCCTCCCCTCCCCTCACCCTGACCATCCCCCCCTCCTCGCTCCCTCACTTCCCTCCCCTCACCCTGACCATTTCCCCCCCCAATGCTCGGGTCCTGACCCAACTGTACAGCGCCTTGGGACGTCCTCCCGACGTGAAAGGCGCTCTATAAATGGAATCTTGTTGTTGATGTTGCTGTTCTATACCAGAATGATGGAGAACCTAACAAAGAGGGTTTGGCTTGTTTTGAGCTCGATTCCTCATGCTGTCGTGTGGCAGTCGTTCGTTATTGCTTCAATGTCATTTCAATTGACGTTGAGAAAATATCTGACAGGCAAACACATCAAAGTAATTAAAGCTTAAAAGTTTTCGATTGGATGCATCATTCAGCACGTAAAGAAATCTGGGTGTGGGGGGGGGAAGAGATTGTGCTGTGGGTAACAAAAAAAAATCGGCGAGACCTCAAATCCGTAAATAATTCCTGCTTTTATTTGAAGCTAAACCCTGGATTAACACACAAACCCTGAGCGTGACAGTAGATGACAGCTTGTTTATTCATGTTTAAAAACCCTCTCGCCTTTCGTTCAGCGATGAGGCATCTCATTGTTGCTACGGTTACCAGCAAAGAAAAACAACCTACCTGCCTCCCATTGCTTAACCCCTCCCTGTGCAAAGCTGCTGATGGCAAAATTGCATTGACTAATTTGTAAGTTCGTGCCAAGCCCTCCTGAGTGGAGTGATCTGCACACGGCACAAACCCGCTCTACTTTTATACTGCGTCGGGTACATGAAAAACACAGCCATGGCACAGAAGCTGAACAAGAGGTGGGCAACCGACAAGAGGAGTCCTGCAGCGTGTTGGTTGGAGCGCTCGCCTCGCAAGCGAGAGGTACCCGGGTTCGATTCCCGGGCAGGGGCGAACCCTTAGGCAAGTTTCTTTACTCCACGCGCCTCTGCTGACTCAGCTTGTAAGTAGGAACCCGGGACGTGTGGAGTAAGAGGGTGAAGGTCTTTATAGTTAAACTGATTCAAATGATATTTTCCCCACAACAACCACCACCACCACCATTTATACATAGCAGGAACCCGCCTCGGAGCATTAACCCACTCATTGGTTTGAAAGAATCATATTTGGGGAAGGGAGGGGGAAGGTAAAGGAGTCGTAGACACTTTTGAAGGCGACAGATGAAACATCAGAACAAATGTGATTGATTGTCCCTTTCAAGCTGCTTATCGTTCCACTGAGATTCGGGGGATTAATGGGAATGTTTAGGGCAGGATAGCAATCTGGGACCGAGGTAATGAAGTCTGTCTGTGGAGCAGTGTCTGCCATCCGTTTGACAGCTCCACGCAAACTAACAGGATATCCCAATCAGCGACGCTAATCAACATTCCTCAACTCACAGAGGCTGGCTAACCTGCCTTTTCTGAGCCATCAACGTGCCCGTCAACAATGCCTTAAAACAGGGCTTTACACAAACACTGCTGCACAATCCGGCCTTCTGAGTGAAGGCATTACATTTCACAGTTCCATGCGAAACCGCTCACTCCTTTTATACAGTACTGGTATTCTTTCAGATGATAAATGATGATCAGATGTTCTAAGGGTCCTACGTGCAATCTTTCATAACTCAAACTCAATCTCGGCTTTTATAATAAGAGGCCACGGTGTGGAAGGACGTCTCGCACGGGGGGGGAGGGGGGGACTTGGGTGGAAAAGGCTCACAACAATAATAATAATTATCCTTGCATTTGATGTAGCGCCTTATCATGTCGCTGAGATGCCTCAAGGGATTCACAGAATACAATGTAAAGCATAGTTAGCGTACTTTGTGGGCGAAATGAGGCAATGAATTGCGCACAGCAGTGTCCTACAATCAGTCATGGATTGAGTGACCAAATCTTTTTTTTAGGGATTATTAACACCGGAAAGCGATCCGCCAATCGACTTACGACCGACCGGGTTCCTTCC